AATAATAAACAAAGCTGTTATTTAATGTCACACAACTTTTCTCCCATTCTCTCTAGATCTCTTTCTCTATGTGTATGTGTGTTTATGATGAAATGCGTTCTCTGGAAATTGTCACAATTCTACCAATTCTTTTTTTAAAATTCTGTCAATTTTAAAAATCACCAATGTCTATTGGTCCTAAGTGGTTCAATCTCCAATACAATATCCTTCAGAACAAATCTGGATTGTAATTGATTTTTGTTTGGAATAATGTGGTGCTGTTCCTTCTGATTATTTACTTAGATCTTGATTATATAAGGAATCAATCTTTGATGATACAAAATTTTAATTCCACGTGGATCTAAAATTTATATTAGTAAAAACAGTACTGTTATTCCCTCATAAGTAATAAGGAATGAAGGAAAAGGTTTCAGGTAACTCAAGTTAACCCATTCCCTTTTGGTTATATAGTGATGGTTTGGATATAGAGTACATCTTGGTTCAGCAGTGTTGTATCACACTGGTGACATTCCTAGGACATGCTTCTAATGAGGACAATTCTCTATGGGACATTACTTGACACCTTGGGATTTACCCTCCCAAGGGCCCAATCAAGGAAATATAGCCACATTCTTCCTGTTTCCACAAAGGTCCCAATTGCTTTATTTATTTATTTTTTTAAATTTCTTTTTTTTTTTTATTTACCAATTGCTTTAATATAAAGGTCCATCCCCTGATAACACTGAATGCTCTAATGAGCTTCTTCTTCTGGCTACAAATACTTTTAGTAGACTATCAGCTCTCTGACTGTCACTTCTGTAACTGGGATAATCACATTTGTTTTGCTTTGCTAACTCCATGTAATGGACCAGAATCTAAGGTGCAGGCAATTACTCATTCTGATAACTTTATGAGACAAACTCCAGCCATCAGGTTATCCACACAGAGGAGCAATAAACTCAGAAGACATACACAGCAGGAAGAACAGAAAGGGTTCAAATACTGTGAATTATTAGGTAAGAGCATCAAAAAACCGTAATATAATAAGAATTTAAACATTTTCATTAATGATTAAAACATGAGACTCTACTCTGCTTTTACCTCTACAATGCTGACTATGAATCCTAGAAAGCAGAATTGACCTGCAACCAATACCAGTAACTTTATTCCTGCCCCTATGGTAAAAAAATAAAATAAAATTAGACCATGAAAGTCTTGTCTTTACCCTACTTGCTTCTGGTATTTTCTTTTGTTTTCTCTTGTACCTTTTACCAAACTGTCTTTATAAGAATGTTGAGTGAATCATGAAATAGAGAAAGGCAACTCATGGGTGCCAATTTGGTGCTAAGACACTGAGGCATCTTTGTAAGGAAGCAGAAAGTTAACATCTGTGTGAGTGGAAAGGACTATAGCTTTTGGTTGCATGCTTCTTAAAAATGTATTTTTTCCCATTCTATTGATTTTACAAGAATTTTTAATGAAAGATTTCCATCATTCTTCAAATGGCTCTGATCTCCAAGGAATCTTCATGATTTATTCTTTGATTATTGCTAGGTCGGAACTGAGTGAATTCTTTTTTAATTCTTTCTATTTCTAAAGAAATTAATTTACTTAGTTGTTATTTATAGAGGTGCTATACAGAGGCATTACAATGACATGAGTCAGGTAATGAGTACATTTTCTTTCATACAGTATCTTCTGTACCCTCATTATCTTCCTGTCCCTCCTTCCAATCTTCACCCATGAGTTGTATAGTTCACTTCCACCAGTGTCCAGTGAGCTCCATTACTGTACTTTTTTTAAACTTTTCCCTCACATTCAGTGCCCTAACTTCTACCCTCTCATCTCCACAACTACACTCCCCACCCCCCACCGCTCGCCTAAACTGTAAAGTTTGTTTTTTGACATAGTGTCTTATACATCTCATTGTTGCAATGGGTCAAGCTGTATCCCTGTTTAAACAATTTGTTTTTCCCTTCCCCTCCACAAATTATACCAACATAAAATACAGTGAAAACAGGGGTTATACCATGGGGTAAAGACATACAAAGCAACAAAAAAATCATGTGGTACCTTATAAATACGTTAGAAGCAATAGCAAGAAAGAATAAACCACTTCCTAACAAATGGGGCCATGTCATTCTTTCTGACGGAGGCATAGAATTCCATTGTGTGTATATACCACATTTTCTTGATCCATTCATCTACTGAGGGGCATCTGGGTTGGTTCCATATCTTAGCTATGGTAAATAATGCTGCAATAAACATAGTTGTGCTGGTAGCTTTAGTAGGGGATTGCTGGGTCATAGGGAAGCTCTATGTGGAGTCTTTTGAGGAACCTCCATACTACTTTCCAAAGTGGTTGAACAAGTTTACACTCCCACCAACAATGCAGTAGAGTTCCCTTCTGGCCACATCCCCTCCAGCATCTGTTGTTATTAGAGTTCTTGATTATAGCCATTCTAACTGGGGTGAGGTGTAATCTCAGTGTTGTTTTGATTTGCATTTCTTTTATGGCTAGAGAAGTTGAGCATTTCTTCATGTGTCTATTGGCCATTCTTATTTCATCTTCAGAAAAGTTTCTCTTTAAGTCTTTAGCCCACTTATTTATTGGGCAGTTGTTTCTTTGAGGATTTGTTGTTGGGGGATTTAATTTTTTGAGTTCCAATTATATTTTAGATATGAGACCCTTTTCTGTTGTGAAGATCTTCTCCCAATCTGTGGGCTTTCTATTGATCTTGCTAGCTATGTCCTTTGCCATGCAGAAGCTCTGCAACTTCATGCAATCCCATTTGTCCAACCTTTTGTTGAGTTGTTGTGTTTCTGGGTGGAAATGACATTATTTTATTTATTTATTTATTTTTTATTGGTCATAGGGCCTGAATTCTGGGCCTGGGCACTGTGCCTGAACTCTTCAGCTCAAGGCTAGTGCTCTATCATTTGCGCCACAGAGCCAATTCCGGCTTTTTCTGCTTATGTGGTGCCGAGGAATTGAACCCAGGACCTCATGCATGCAAGGACTCTACCACTGAGCCACCTTCCCAGCCCCCATTATTTTATCTTATTTTATCATGGCTGTGTAAAATTCCATTGTGTATAGGTATCTCATTGTTCTGGATCCACTCATCCATTGTGGGACATCTAGAAGCAACTTCTTCCCTTTTTTTTTTTTTTTATAGAGTTCCTTTGTAAAAATGTTTTGACTGATTATCCCCGGATGGCTACTGAGTTGTTAGAAGTAGTGTAGCCTAGTAGGTAATTATTTACATTATTAATACATTATGAACTATGGGATCTGAATAATGTTGCAGTCTTAACCTGAATGTTACTAGATTTTCTCCTAAACAGACTTAAATTTTGAGTGTTGCATTTTTACCAGAGTCACGTTTGCACACAGAGGCAATTATAAGACCTCTTCCCCCGAAAGAGGAAACCATAGATGATTCTGTGTGACTTATTTTTTTTCTTATACAACAGCCTGTTAGGAAACAAGATATAAACTGCAGACCACAGGACAAGTAGTGAAAAAGTATGTGGTAAAAGTGGAAGAGGCAGGACTTGAGGTAAAAAAGGATTTTAAATGGTGGATTCTCCTGTATTAACAAGACAATTATAAGATAAAATGAAATATTAACCTTTCCACTGGGAAAAAATGGAAAACACACAGGAGAAAAAGAACCACATATGAGTTATAGATCTTTGTGTATTATAGAAGGTGAAAAATGGGAACTAATGTTCAATCGGGTTAAAAAGTAAGTAGTGATTGTATCACATTTTCTACGCCTCTGTAAAGTAAAATATGACCAAATAAACAACCCTACCAAATGACAACAATGTAATTTTATATTTCATATAGATATTTGTGTTATCATAGAATAAATTACTTTCTAAGCATCAAGGTGACAGCTGAGTTAATGATAATCAAAGATATCCTTAACCTCACTAGGGAAGATAACTGTCACAAAATAGTCTTTTGATAACACATTAGTGACTTCAGCTTTCTTTTCAGCATTTTCCAGGTGATTTCTATTTAGTGCATTACACAAAAGAATGATATATCACAAATATCCTCATATAAGGATGAACAGTCAGAAGAAAGAATGACAAAGTTAGTAGAATATCAAATGGCCTATGTAGAATAAAGTACATCTAACCCCAATTACATCCTTATATTCTGATTTGCTTGTTCCACTCAAAGCTCATTTCTAAGTGAAAAAATAAAGCATAATTAGGGATACCAACAGACACAAAGACACAAAGATGCATGCACAATAACCTATGAATATGGAGTGTAAGAATACTCCTAAAAGGATGTGTAAATATCACTAAATTGGAAAATAGATAAGTATAGGAGAAGGAAGATAAAAATTCTGTGTCAAAGCATAAAAAAACAAAGAAAATACGAGAGTTAGGCAAGGTAAAGTTGCTGATAGCATTTAGAGTGACACATATATATGCCACAAGGCTGAGAAATCTAAACACAGAGACTGGACAAAATCTCCACATAATATCAGTTACTTGTTGCACTTAACTTATACAAATTAAAAAAATACGTATTGTTATTGTTGAGGTGATGTACAGAGGGGTTACAATTGCATAAGTCAGATAAAAACTACATTTCTTTTTTTAACAATGACACCCCTTTCCTTACTCTTTCCCAGTTTTTCCATCCTGTACCCTCCCACAAGTTGTATAGTACATTTTCAACAGGGTCTAGTGAGTACCACTGCTGTACTTATTTGTTCATACTTTGGCCCACCATTTCTGTGAACCCCCCCCCTTATGCCCCAAAGACAGATAAACAAACAAGACAAAAGGAAAATGATAATTAAAATTCTAAGAAGAAATTTAAATTACTACATAATTATGCTCTTTAGCTTAGAAAAGAATTATGAATCATTAACAAAGGCTATGAAGTGGATGTTGCCATTACTGTACTGTCCTTGTGAACCATAGGGTGTTTAATTATATGTTTTTGGAGATGATGTGATATTTTTCCTTCAGGTCACAGGGAGCACATAATGATGGAACAAACCAACACTTCTTCTAATGATTATTTTGTTTTGCTGGGGTTTTCCAACTGGCCTCATCTAGAAGTAATTCTATTTGTGGTTATCTTGATCTTCTACTTGCTGACACTGATAGGAAACCTGTTCATCATCATCCTGTCATACCTGGACTCCCACCTCCACACTCCCATGTACTTCTTCCTCTCAAACCTCTCTGTTCTGGATCTCTGCTACACCACCAGCTCCATCCCCCAATTGCTGTTCAACCTCTGGGGCCCAGACAAGACCATTTCTTATGCTGGTTGCATGATTCAGCTCTATTTTGTTCTTGCATTAGGAGCCACAGAGTGTGTGCTGCTGGTGGTGATGTCCTACGACCGCTATGCAGCTGTGTGCAAACCCTTGCATTACACTGTCCTCATGCACCCTCGCTTCTGCCGATTATTGGCTATAGGCTCATGGGTATGTGGCTTTACCAACTCAGCACTTCATTCCCTCTTTACTTTCCTGGTACCCCTGTGTGGACATCACCAAGTGGATCATTTCTTCTGTGAAGTTCCAGCTCTGCTGCAAATATCATGTGTTGATACCCGAGCCAATGAGATGACCCTCATGGTCACAAGCTCTATTTTTGTTCTCATACCACTCATCCTCATTTTCACTTCCTATGGTGCCATTGCTCGGGCAGTGTTGAGAATGAAATCAAGCACTGGACTTCAGAAAGTCTTTGGGACATGTGGAGCCCATCTCATGGTGGTGTCCCTCTTTTTTATTCCAGTCATGTGCATCTATCTCCAGCCTCCAACTGAAAACTCCCAAGACCAAGGCAAGTTCATTGCCCTGTTTTACACGGTTGTCACTCCTAGCCTCAACCCTCTCATCTACACCCTCAGAAACAAAGATGTGAGAGGGGCAGTAAGGAGACTGACGGGACGAGGGTAGTCTGTGTCCTTGTTACACTGACTCTAATCTGCATCTCTTCTTGACCAATAAGTCATAAATTCATCAGCTCACCAACTACCCTTCTATTCAATAAACATTTACTAAGATAAAACTTTCACAAGCATGGAGGAGTTCTTCCTGACAAATATATATTAAGCACAATTTGCCTAACTCATACTAGTATGGAGAATACAGCCATGTAAATTCAAGATTGCCACATTTTTTCAACATCCCAACAAATATGAATCTGAAATCCTTTCTTAGTTAAACGTGATTGTAAAACAAATCGTAAATATTTTCAGAAGAGCAATGTATAATTCCGGTGGAAAGTCGAATTTTTTGATTAAAAACATCTCTACAATGTATCCTTGAATATCTTGTTTCCTACATAGTCAAGTTAGAGACATTGTGAAATATTTTAAGTAAAGCTGGGTGTGGTGGTAATTCAAGCACTCAGGAGGTAAAAATAGTAATATGAAAAGTTTCAGGCCTAGACAGGGTTTGGTGTGGCCTATGTCTATAATCCTAGCTACTAAGGATGCTGAAGTCTGACAGATTCAAAGCCAGCCCAGGCAGGAAAGTCTGTGAGACTTGTTATCTCCAATTAACTACCAGAAAAACAGATGTGGCACTGTGGTTCAAAATGGTTGAGTGCTAACCTTGAGCAAAAGAGCTCAGGGAAAGTGCCTAGGCCCCACAACCAACCATAAAAAAACAAACCTTTAGCTACTCCTCTACATAATGAGTTTTCTCCCAGCCTAGGCTACATAGTATGATTCTGTTTGAAAACAAACTAAACAAAACAGAAAAAAAAAAGAAATAACGGAACAGGAAAAGGATTTTTTACAATAATTTTCTTTGTTGAGCTAGGGCTATTAGTTTTGAAATAAGTATCCTACAAAGGTTCCTGTGATCACATTTCTCACCATCTAAAGTTTTCCCTCCAGTTATATTAAGGTATATTTGACAAATATTGTATGTATTTATGATACATAATATGAAGTTTTAGTATATATATGTATATATACATCAGAAATTCACTTATTCAAGCCAATTGTTATGTCCATTTTCCTTTTTCTACTTAGTATCCTTTTTTCAAATATAACCATAGATTTGTTACATCACCATATTTATCCTTTTTCTACCATATTTTCATGCCCCAGGGGCCTCTGGGATTCCTAAAAGTAATATAATTCTGAGTATTACAGTTTGAAAAGAACACTGGATTTATATTAGTTGTAAATGAATTTATTCTAATCATCTTTCTTATAAAAAGGATGACATACTTTTTTTGTCAAGCCAGTATTATGCTGTGCCAATCTACAAATCTCTCTTTTTTTTATTATGAAAATACTGTACAGAGGAGTTACAATTACATGGGCAAGACAATGAGTACATTTCCTATCAAGCATTGTTGCCTCCTCCTTTGTTTCCCCTTCCTATCCCTTCCCATCTCCCCCACCACCACCCCCCATCTCCCCCTCCCCTTCTCCCCCCCCTCCCCTGCAAGTGTTGAGGAAACCATTGTTTAACTACCTTAAAGATTTTCACAACATGCACTTTTGTTTTCTTTAAGGAAAGTGTTCAATGTTTTGATATCTTTCATTTGTTCCATAAGAAAGCCCTGCCTGGCTTGCTTGGCCTTGAGGAAAGTTTTTGGATCTCTTTTATGGAAAGTGTAATCTCAGCATTTGTTTCATCTCCTGCTTAGTTTCAAGGACTCAGCATACCTTCTTCACCCAATAGGTACTTTTCCTTTAACATATTTTTTCCAAAGTTAACTGACCCAGCATTCATGCTGCTTATACTGAATATACACCCCAGAAATACATTATTTTCTAGGAAAGTATCATATAAAATATTACTGTATTTTTTTACCCTTTAGCACTCATCATAGTCTTTATCCTGTGATATTCAACATATTTCCTAGAATTCCTATATTTTCAGAGTTTGGGTGAATTAAGAGTATCTGTGGACTTAAACATGAGTGCACACATTAACTAGCCCAGGATTGAGGATGACTGAAAAACTTACATTTGTAACCTGTCTCTATTGTAATGCTTACAACACACATAGACCTTTCTAGTACCAAGCTCTAAAACTAAAAGCATTCTATATTTCTCTGTATGTAACACTGACAAAGATACTTTAACTGGTAATTATGATTTGATTTGATTATGATGTACTTTCCCATCCGAGAATCCCAACTCTTAATATGGATATGATTTGTGCATGAATGCAAAATTCAGAGATTTTGGTGGTCAGAAATCTGCTAATTTTTAATTTCTTACCATTAGCCTTGAGAATTAAATTAGTACCACATGGTCTGTTATTTTTCAGCATTAATCTGGGTTTTTTGTTGTTTCTTGTGTGGAATAATATGAAATTAATTTTATTTCCAATTATTTTCTTTGATGGTTGGTCATATAAAAAGTATGTTAGAAAGATTCTATCAAATTGTTTTAATTACAAGTGTTTATTTCTTCATTACATTTGTATTGAATTCTCAACACAAAATCAATATCACATGACCGTACAATCTATTCATTATTTTTATAAATTGTAACTAATTTAAGGACAGAGCATTAAATTTTCATTATGAGTCATAGATCTGTATGTTTATCATTTTCATCGTTTAGTGATACAGACTTTGAACATTCTTATGCTCAAAAAATACATAAATAAATACACACTCATGTTGTTGGTTGAAGTAATTAAATTGCATTCTAATCGAGGGTAAGGTATTACTTTTTCATGGTGAGTGTTTTAGGTTGAAATGTTATTTTGTGTTTGAAGGGGTTTTGTTTAATTTGATAATTTATGTAATGTACTTTGATTCGACTTATCACATATATATTTTTTTTGATTAAATCCTTTTTTCTCTTCCCCCACTGTACTTAAGTTTTTAGTGAATTTCATTGTGTAAATAATCTTTGTTTCAATGAAACACTGAAATGTTTGCAAGTGGTCAACCCTAATAGCATATCTTCCTTCAACTGACTCAGAAAACTCATGCTAAAATATTTAAAAAGACTTCTTAGAAATTTACCAGTAGTATAGCTTCAATTATACTACATGTTTTATTACTTAATGATAAATTCTTCACTGAAACATAGAAAGACATAGCACACTTGCTAGTCAAGCAAGATTAACTTTTTGTGGTAGAGGTGTTTAAACTCAGAGCCTCATGTGTGATAGGGTCTCTTCCGCTGAGCTGTGTATCCATCTTTGTTACTGTGCGAGTTATCCTTAAGATAAGGTCTTGCTTCCTACCTTGTCTGAGCCTGGACTGAGAACCAACGATTTTAGGCTTCCTTCCCATGGCTAGGATAACAAATGTGTGCCACCACCCCTAACTTCCTCTGATGAGACGGCATTTAACAAACTTTTCTGCTTGGGATATATAATAGGTGCCAGACATTTGCACATGGCATAATATTCTTCTTAAATTTTCTTAAAAAGATAAGGCATCCAAATATATTAAAGTTGAGGAAGTTATGACTCATGAGTCTTTGAATGTTCTCCAAATGATGGCTTGTGCGAAAAGCTGCCCCAGACTCTTGGGAAGCTCAAAGGATCATGGAATGTTTCTTAAGAGGCACAAATAGGAAGCCCACTCGTGAGTGTTTGGAAGGGAACTTTTATGATTAGCTTAGAACAATGGAATTATATCATAGTATTTTAATATTTTTGCTACTTCAAGAAGTTACTATTCCTGATAATTATCTTATTATATTTTATTATTTTTATTCTATTTATTCTTTTATTCTATTATAATTATTATATTATCTTATTATATTTTCAAATCAGAGTGTCCATACTGGAACATTGTAGCCAAATATAATCATTGGCTGGTACAATTAAAACAATACATATAAATGACATTTTACAAAAAGAACATATAAGAACTAATGAGAGGTGAGTCAGGAGAGACAGCTTTATAAACCTATCCTAATTGTAAAATTGGATGTCTGCAAACTTTCACTTCAAACGGAAGATGCTCCTCACCAAGTTGCCTAATGCTCCCTTCACATCCTTATTCCTCAAGGTGTAGATGAAGGGGTTGAGGGTAGGAGTCACCACTCCATAGAAGAGAGCCATGAACTTGGGCTGGTCCCTTGTGATGGAGGAGGGGGGTTGAAGGTACATGCTAATGGCTGGACCATAAAATAACAAAACGACAATGAGATGAGAGGAGCATGTCCCAAATGCTTTTTTTCTTCCCTCAGAAGATTTGATATTAAGCACAGCACGTCCAATACTAGCATAGGAAGCAAGAATTAGGCATAGAGGAACGGCTAACATAAAAATGCATACCACAGACAGGGTGAGCTCATTGGCCTCCTTCTCACCGCAGGCAGTCTTGATCAGGACTGGAATCTCACACACCAAGTGATCCAGTGTATTTGTGCCACACAGGGGCAGCTTTAGTGTAACTGTGGCCTCTGATACAGCATAGGTAATGCCACACAGCCACACGATGCACATTAACAGGATGCAGAGGCGCTGGTTCATGATGAGGGTGTAGTGCAGAGGTCTGCAAATGGCCACATAGCGATCAAAGGACATAAGACCCAGAAGCAGACATTCTGTGCCTCCCATTATGTGAAAGAAATAAAGCTGAACTGCACACCCCACGTAGCTGATGGTCTTCTTAGAGCTGCCCAGGTTGAACAGCATCTGAGGGACGATGCTGGTGGTGTAACACATGTCTAAAAAGGAGAGGTTGGTAAGGAAGAAATACATGGGGCTGTGGAGCCGGGGATCTAATCTGGACACCAGGATGATGATGATGTTTCCCATCATGGCCAAGGGGTATGTGATCAGAAGAATAATGAATAGAGGAAGCTCCAGCCAAGGTCTGTCAGCAAATCCTAGTAGAATGAACTGCTCAGGATGACTTCCATTAATGAGAGCCATTCTTTTCAGTTTTTTTTTCTACAGTAATAGGGTAGGTTAATGATAACATAGAGAGAAATGACACATTAGTAACATAATAT